ATTGCTTAGTGGTGAACGTGCAGTGCTGGGTTAACAGCTGGATGGGATGATTTAGAGGGCCAACCTTAACAATTCTTTGATTCTAACTGCTCTAAGCTTTTATTGCAGGATTCGACCTCTATCCTTTAAGGACTCTCTGTGTGAGAAGTACATCAAACCCAGCACCTACTGAGGAAGAACCAGCGAGGGGGATTTCTCACATCCCAGCGGACCCAGCGCTCCCCCCGCACAGCAGAGCTTTATTCAACTGCGCCTCGCTGCGTTCAGGACACCTGTCCTGGGGAAGAACACACAGAACTGTCCCCTGCGAGGACAGGTTCGTGGCTTCCGTGGTGCAGGGGGGACACAGGGCTCGGGGCTCCCGAGGGTGCACCACCAGTGCTGCCTGAAGCCTGATCACCCCCACGCCGTGCTGATGCCACCCGCGGGCTCCCCACGACACGTGGGGGCCGCGGCCACCCCGCCAGCTCCTCGGTGGGCACTAGCGGCTTGCCCACGATCCACAGCTTCCCCGGGGCCGGGTGTCCGACACCTCGGGAAGGGCAGCGGGGCTCCGGATCTCCGGCACCGGGAGCAAAAATGAGCCGCAAACGAGGCGGCGTCCGCGGCCTCCCCGCGGCGGGGCTGCCAGCGCACCGCGCTGCCTCGGCAGGCACGGACGGGGTTCGAACCCGCGATCTTCGGTTTACGAGACCGACGCCTTACCACTTGGCCACCGCGCCCGACGGGCTGGCTGCACCCGCGCGCCGCCAGTGGAAGGCAGCGGGCGGCGCGGCCGCCGCCGGGACCGGACGGGGCGTCCCGGGGCGCTGCCGGCGGCGGGACGGGGCGGGGATGGGGCGGGGATGGGGCGGGAGGGACGGGGCGGAGCGGCCGTGGCGTGCGGGAGGGTGTGTGGGGGGGAAGCCGCGGGGCCGCCCCGCGGGGGCTGCCGCGGGCACGTGCGGGGCGGGGCGCCGGGAGCGGGCGGGGCTCTCGCCGTGTTCCCGCACCGTGTCCCGCCCGCCGGGATCGGCATCCCTGTGCCCCTGCAGCGAGACCCCTTCCCCGAGCGCTGCTGCTCCTGCACTGCAGAATTACCGGGGAAGGTTCCTATCTCCCAGCGGAGTAACACGGGGCGTCCCTGCAGGAACACGGGGCTGCCTCGGGAAACGGAGGCTGCTCCTGCCAAGCTCACAACTCCGGGTCCTGTCGCTCGCCAGTTCCCGGTTTGGGGAGGTCGGGAGGGTCCCCCGAGGGCAGGAGCCGAGTGGGATCGGACACAGCCCACCGCGGGATGCTGGGGGCTGTCCCTGCATTCGGGGGGTTGGCGGCGACTGTCCCGGAGCCTCCCGTCTCTCCCCTGTGAGCCCAGCAGCAGCGTTTCCCCCCCTTTCCCTTGGGACAGCATCAGGCAATCTAATATGGTTTGTGTCAGGAAGTGTTTCCTGATATTCAAACCGAATTTTCACGTTTTACTTCAGTCCCATTATCTTCTGTTTACACAGTCAAATCATAATAGCATAAATCATAAATACAATACTGCATTATTAATATTTCCTCCTTAGGGTTTCCAGCTACCAAATATTTAGTCTTATGGCTAACGCTTGGTTAAAACCCAAGAAATGAATCAGCTCTCATTTTTATCGCCACCAGCTGAGGGGAAGAATTTGAAGGTTGTGGTTTTGAACCATTATTTAGCTTTGCATTGAAATTTTTCATCCTAGCTTCTGGTTTTCAACCAATGCTGGGCAGCAGAAAGTAATCTGCTATTTTTTAGCTTACATGTTCATCCTGAAAAACACAGACCAAACCAACCAACCAAAGAGGGGAAAAAACCCTAAACCAGGCACATTTAGAACCTACTACCAATCTAACATAATAGAATCCCTATTGTTACTTTATACTATGAATTTGTAACCAGGCCCCACTGCCTGTCCAATCAGACCCGAGTTACACAACCTTTATTACAGGAATGCATCCTGTGTTTGCAGTGTTCTCGCTGCTCAAATAAACCAACCACGTGAGGTCTGAGCAGCTCATTCCAGAGAGGAAAAGTTGCTCTCCTCAGGGTCCCATTTTAAGGTGTTTGTACAAATATTGCACTGAATCTATCCCAGCCTGTCTCTACTGCTAAGGTTTACTTTTTTGAGGCTACAGTTGCTTGGGAACTCAGCATCCCAGTGATACCCAGAGCCCAAGAAAAACCAGGATGGCAAGAGGTGCTGGGGTTGCAGAAGTCACAGCTGTTTTTCAGCCACGTCCTGCCCCCTCCATGGCCCTGGACTTTGCATTTCAGGTGGTGGGTGTTTGACCACATCCCTGGGCACAGCACAGTCCTGGCAGTGCTCCTACTCCCTCCCCAGCTCTGGTGGAGTGATGGGAAGAGCCTGGCTGTTTTCTGCTGCCCCCACTGCCCAGCCCTGCTGCTCCCTGGCATGGGGCCACTGAGGGGAGGGGTTTCAGGGCTTCACCTTTAATCCACACTTACACAGTATTTCCATGAATGAAAACAAACTCCTCTGCTGCTGTCCCCAGTTCATTGCTCTGCACAGCCAGAGCTCATCTTCTCAGCCCACACTTTATCCAAGAGGCTGAAGGACAGCCTTGGTCAGGTGTTGTTTCTCTGTCACATGGGACAAGTGCTCAGGCAGACCAGAGCATTCCTGAGGGCCTGAGAGCAGCTTTGCCTGGTGACTGTTCAGGTTTTAAATAAAAGCCTGAGCACATTAAGAAAAGCCACAGAGACAGTGTTTCATAAAACACAACCAGCACTTTGCTCCCGTACAACAGGGAGAGAGCGAGGGCAGCCTTTAAGCAGCTGAGTTCCATCCACCTCAGTTGGTGCCACGGCCCGGCTCCCCTGTCTTTCCAGAAACAGTCTGTACTCTGAGTCATAAACCCCCTGTTACACACTATTGCCTCAAAATGCAAACTGCCTCGTCAGTCAGTGAGCTCAGGCACAAAGATCTCGGTGTGAGGGAAATGAGTAGCGTGCCAGAGGACATGCTGACATATTATCATTGCAAAGTTGCTTTAAAATCACCATTAACCCAAATAGTTATGGTTACACATCTGGGACAGTCTTCAATTTACTAGTCATGTGCTCTAACCTCTTTTTTTGCATCCAAAAAGCAGTCGGCTCCGAGGACAAATTTCACCCGAGTTATGCAAGCTAGGAAGAGTCCTTGCTGCATTGCATGGGTCAGAAGACATTTAGAGTGGAGTCACACATCCCAGTCTGCCCTCAGAGATTCAGGAAAGCATTGAAACATGGGCCATGAAGAGTAGTGAACAGAGCAAGGGAAAACACTGAAGTCATGGCTTTGAGACTGCTCTGCTGAACAAAACGTGTCAGCCAAGACAACGTGAGGAGATCAGAGCCTGCTGACAGACTACAGGAGTTGGACAATGTACTCAGTCGGTGCTCACATGAGATGTATTTCCTCTTTGTAACAGCTCTCCTTGTCACTGTCCAAGTTCTCAGGAGTCTGAGCTCCTGCAATCTATTTCCTACTCCACTACTGCCTCATTTAACCTGTCTGCCCTCAAACCCTCCTTCCCTCCTCCCTTCTCCCAGACGACAGGAACAAGATAAGAATCACCTCCCAGGAGTTCTGAGCTTGTGCAGTTCCCAGTTGTAAAATGACCCAACGATTATGGCTCTCTCCAGCCCAGTAAAAACATGTAAAAACAGTATAATTTTTTAGAAACTATTACATACTTTGTGGTACACAGTGTTGATGATTCCTATCCCCAGAGTAACAGGTGATTTGCTTTCCCACTGTGCCTTTCTTGTGTGCCAGTGTATAACTGATCTGGAAGTAGGTCAGTAGTACCTCACGTTAGCCTGAGGTGCTGAGATTTGGGAACAAAACTTCTCCCTGTCTCTCTGGTGAAGTAGTTTAGCATACACAGTAGGGAGTTTTCTTCAAGCCTGCAGTTATAAATCTGAATATCCAACATCTCATTGCTGGGAGGAATCTGGGGATGGGAAAGCCTAAGAAGATAACACACAGGTACGTTGCTCCATGTATTATTTATACACTATCTTTGCTCTGATTCCCCAAATATCTGTACCCACTGTGAGAAAAGCTGCCCCACAGCCACATGGGGTGATACTGTAAAGGACACATACCAGGTTTAGAGACTTCTGACATGCAGATGAAAGTTGTTTGGTACGCTATGATTCCTTGCAGATCATCAAAATGTTTTAGAAGGAAAAAATTCACCCTGCAAGGCTTGAACTGATTAGTGAAGCCTTTTCAAAATTCCCTTTCCCCCTCTCCTTTGCTTCAAGCCCAGCTGGAGGCAGAGATCTTACCACCTTAGACTCCACTTTGTATTTTAAATAATACACCACAGGCTCAGTTCCCTGGCTCTACACCTTTCACCATCTTTCACACAGGTGCAAAACAGTCACATTTTTTTACATCAAGGGCACGAATGACACCCGAATAAACAGCAGCAAGCTGGGGGTGGGAGCAGCAGATTTTCAGGAGCCGAACTTCAAACCCAGTAAAGCCACTGTGGAAACATCCTTGAGCCACCTGCACCCTGTGGCTGTGTCAGTGTGGGCTTTGCTGGTGTTCCCAGGCCAGCCTTGATGGTTTCCTCCAACACAATGCCTGGCAGGTAGGAGAAGGCAGGGAGCTGCACAGGGCTGCTTGAGGAGACACTTTGCCCCCGGACTGTCCCGACATATAACAAAACTCCCCCATTTTTCCCAAGAAGGAAGAACCCAGGCTGGCTGTGTCTGCCCCTCTGTCAGCAGGGTTTTCTCAAAGCCATGGCCCCACTCTTGGGCAACAATGCCCACAGACATTGGGCTGCTCCAGAGGTGACCATGCCCATGGCGCCCTCCCCTCACTCCACAGAGGCTCTTGCACAAAGCAGCCTTGAACCCACGCTGCTCCCTCACTTATTTAACTCCAGCAGTTAAAATACAGTGCAGTGAATAGGCCAGTGGGTCTGACAGCTCAAACAGAAGATAAAAATAAAAAATAATAAAAAAAAATTACCTCAGAGTGTTGGTCGAGTGGGCCCCAGTGTGTCCTCCAGCATCCCGCCTCACGCAGAGCCTGTTCTGCTGGGAATGGGAATGTGAGTCCTGGCCTGAGCCCTCACCAGGCTGAGGGGCTCCTTTGGTCTCCACTCATGGCACCAGTGACAGGTCCCAGCTCCCAGACATAGCCCAAGGTGTCCTAGCACCGCCCTGACACCTCATGGACAATCCTTGCTGTCCTGCTCCCAGGACGGCCCCTCCAGGCACACCTGGGAGCCTCGGCCTCTCCCAAGGACAGGCCATAGCAGTTTTCCCTCAGGCTTCTCCAGGCACAGGTGCCTCCAGTTTATCTGTGAACGTCCCCTCCTGCACAGGCCCTGGGGTGGTCACTGCTGGCCATGTGAGGTCGGACCAGATTCCCCCAGGACAGGGCTCCAGGCTGTGCCCTCCCCGGGGCAGAGAGCTGCCCCTCCAGGCAGGAGCCACAGCACGAGCTCATCAGCCCCACACGGGTCAGTAAATACAGATTAAAAAGCTGGCTCCAAATCCTGCAAACAGCTCACAGCTGGAGTTTCCATCAACGGAGGAGGGGAGAGATTAACGGGTCGGTCCCATGCAAAGCTTTGGCCTTACATGTCCCGCACAGCTCTTGGAAGTTTTACACAGTTGTGGCTGTCAGGTAAGGCACGTGCTGAGCAAAATCCTTCCCTAGTGCCACCCTGGAGTTCCCTCATAAGGAAGATGGTGTTTGGGCAGGTGAGAGCAGAGCTGGGCAATCCTCCTTTAAATGAAGCACAGAAATAGAGGTGGACCAGGAAGGAAGGTAAGGAGGGACATCAAATCAGTCATCCACCACAAACAACGTTTTAGTCATGCAGGGAAAGCAAATAATTTATTTACATGTCTGATTGTACATTACAGCTACCTGAAGGATCCATATCATCAAGGACAGCTTTATTGTCCCTAGAAAGTATTTCAAGAAAATACAAAGAAAATAGTGTAAATGGCACATTGTAACAGTACTGACATCACTTCCCTGGTGGTGTAAATTACAGAACGAGATTAAAAATAGTCATATGCCACTTCTGCTGGCTGCTTTTTTTCCAGTAACAATGGAGCAAGTGGACTTTGCTCATTTTCATACTAAGCAGCCTTTAAAGTAAAAAAATAAAACCACCTCACTGCTCCTAAGGCAGTTTTATATTCTGTCAAATGGGTGCCGAATTCAGTCAAAGAACTTCTGCTCCATGAGAGCAGAACATACTACTTTATAGATAAAAACCTCTGTGTTTTGTAAGATTTAGGGGATATTGATGATTTCTTCCTTGTGAACTTAGCAGAGTTTATTATCTCACTGTGTCTGGGGGCTGGTGAGTGGGGTTCTGATAAACCACATGATGTGAGGGGAGGGAACAGTTTGAGGATCTCACCAGATGAGGGGGTCAACACTCCAGAAATAAAACCATCAGCTTGAGAAAAGGCTGGTGGGAGGGAAGGACACTTCTAGGACCAGATTCCCAGTTGCCAGTTACAGACATCCAGTCTCACAACACATCTGTTCAGCTTCCCAAATGCTGCAGGAGAGTGCTGTGCTACAAACCCCGTGGGAAGGAGTTTATTTCAGCATTTGCCCAAATGTGAAAAGCGAGACACCCAGTTTCTCACACCTGCAAGAGGAAGATCTCCAGTCATGCAGATCCAGGGTCTGTCCTTGGGAAATGCTGCCACAGAAGCCAGGGAGGGAAGAGAAGGAATAATTTAAAGCATTTGAGGCACTCTAAGACAGCGAGTCTATGAATTGGTAATGCTATTTCTCTTTCCATTTCAATGGGCAAAATAAATCACTTGCCCAATCCCACAAAAATAATCCCAGAACTGAAGTAAACCTGAAATGGGCAACGTGCTCAAATGAGGGTTTGGTCTGGTGTCCATTTCAAGTATAAAAAGAAGCAAATTGGCTTTAATGGAAATAAAAACTATAATTGCCAAGTCAGGACAATAACATTTAGTTAAGTGTTTTATTATTTTCAATTAACTGAAGCCAACAAGTGGATAGAATTGGTCTCATAACGATACTAGAACAATAAATCTGCGAGTGTGTGTGTGTGAAACATTGCCTTACAAAAGAGACCAGCCATCTGACACAACATTTCTAAAAGAAGACAAAGAATTGCTAATTATGTTAATTTTCATTTGCTACGTAACTTAGACCATGACCTAGTGCTTCTAAAAAAACCTGTACAAAATGAGTATTTTTTACATCTCAGAGGCACATGAATACAAATCTGATCTAGTTCATATATACACATGTACATTACAAGAAACCAGATGATCAAATGAAAGAAGTGTATATAAAAAGTGCCTGAAACAGATGATAAAATGTAAAAATAAAATGTATCCTCACAACAGAGAAGTAAAAGGCACAAGTACTAAAATATGTAACCATGCAAAAAACGTGGGTAGTCTGTGCAACAAAGAAAAACAAATGGCTCTCACAACTGATTTTACAGTAATTCTCAAAATGTCTCAGTATTTAAACATAACATCAGTGCAACATTTACTGCCCTGTAACAGGTTCACAAGATATGAAATTCTTGGTTCCCCTTCTGGCGTCCTTTCTCCAAAGCCAGAATAATTTAGCTACGGATAAGGTATTAAACAAAATAGGGCTGGTGATGGGTATTTTACAAATTACACCACAGAAGCCCATGTTTGTTACTGTGTGTTTTTGTTAGGTTTAAAGTTTAAGTCAAAAGTAACCCCTCTGTGTCTGTTTGAACAGGTACTACTCTCGCAGCTGAAACAAAACCTCCAGACTTAATCCAGTGAGCTAAACCCACGGCATCCAGAACACCACGCAGCACTGTCAGCTGGCTCCACACTGTGGCAAACCCTGGTACCGTGGCCCTGGCTGCAGATGTTTCTACCTGCTTGCACACTGTGAGAATCAGCTACAGCGTTCTGTACGTGGAACACAACCAGTTTTCATGACCACAAAAAAGGCAGGGACAGGACTGGCCTGGTATAAAGTCAAGGCTGAAATTCTTGTCTCGGTATATTCAGCCATACTGAAGCCAAGAATGTTGAATTTGTCCCTTCCATCTGCTCCCAGTGCTGTCCCAAGGCACACAGCCACTCTGACAGTGGGCACAGTGGGGCAAGACCAAGAGTGTAAATGTTAACAGAACAAACGCTGGGAAAGAATCCCAGAAAGAAACAACTCTCTTGCACATCAGAGCAACTCCCAGAGCATTATGCAGGGTGACAGTATTCAGACCTAACACCTACTGCAATCCTTCCCAATATCTAAACGTGTATACAGAGTTTCCTTGAACAGAAACCCACACATGCTTCAACAGCAAACTGCTCCTAAAATCAATACTTTGAATTCAAAAATACTGAAAAAAAAAAACAACCCCTGGGGATGATGCAAGGGAACAAAATGTCAGCAACTGTGAACTATATCCTTTAAAACCAACCAGCTGTGTTATATCACCTGTCACGACTTCTTGACAGTGTTTCTTGAGAAACAAATTACTTGACGAGAATATGAGCACTGCTGCTGGCACCAGGAACTGCTCAGTTAAAGTTTGAGTCAAGTTTTCACTTAAATCAATATAAGCCAAGCCACTGGTTTGGCAAGTGTTTGATCAGCTGCTACTTCCTTCCTTCCTTCCTTGGAAAAAAAAAATCCCTCAGACCACATCATGCAGTATTTGTTTTAAGAGAAAACCACTGTGTATTCACTGCCATCAAAGAAGGAAAAACTCTATTCTTTTATTTGTAAATTCAAGTTCTTAGACTCATCACATGTCACCAGCACTACGATGCAGAGACCGCTGAGCAGTGCCTGGTGTAACAGCCCCAAGTGTGTGTTTATGTATCAGCTTCCAAGCCCTCATTTACAAACCAGATGAGGGAGCCTAAACACTGCAGCTCTAGATGCTCTCTGGAGAGCAACGCAGTTCTACCCAAGTAAATGGAGCGTTGCCGCACTCAGACAGCAAAATATTTGTTGATACACATATCTTTGAGAATTAATAATGCTGTGTTCAAATCCCTACTGAGCTGGCTGAGAAACATCTGAATTTCTCCCAAAGACCATGAAAGGAAAGTTGGCAGGAAAAGTGCACGGGATGGTTTTGGGTTTTTTTTTTTTGGAGGCTTGCTACAAATTTGCGTATTAAAAATTCCTTAAAAATAGATGGGATGGTTAAGTTTGTCACTGTTGCACTTCAAAATAAGAAAAATTCTTGAAGAGTTTGAGTCTTTATTAGAACTCATTAAAAAAGCTGAAAAATCTTCTTTTGGTGTCGAAGCAGTTTTGAATCAGCATCACTCTGAAATCAAAACTAGGCAACAGCTGAAGACTGAAGTCTGGAGGGAAGCAACCAATACCAGAAAAGTCTCGAGAGACTAATTTCAGGTACTCTCAAGTGCAAGTTTTGAAAGAGGTAATTTTTCTGTGTATGGGACTGCCCTGACCAAGGGCAGCTTCCAGCCAAAAGCCACTGGTACAGAAATACCTGCAGTGGTTTGCAACTGGTGGGAGCAGAGTATCACTTAGCTTTTGAGAATCTAAGGTTGAATGAGCTAAGGAACAGATCAGGATTCAGAACCCAGGATTGTGTTTGCATTCCCCAGGGGTTAGGTGAGAAGCTGGGGGCTGACACAGGAATGTTTGCTGCATTTGTGTATTGCCAGAACAGGGTGATGCTACAGTTCTATGTTTGAAGCTATTTACCCAGGGAAGTGAGGCCCTTGTTCCACCAACAGTAACACTGGCAGAGCAGGCTGTACTCCCCCAGCTGTCCTCAGAGCACAAAGGCAGCCCAGCAAAGAAGTCAAACTTATCAGAGAACAGACACCCAAACCGGTGCCTCCCTCTTGCCACGTCTGCTGCCTGTTCTGCCAAAGTGTCTGACACCTGATCAAAGTAGGCACTCTCTGCACTGCCAGCATCAGATTCCTCCCTGCCCCAGTGACCCAGCAAGTGATCCCTTATTACCAAGTTACCTGCTTGCCATAAAATGTGATGACTTCTTTTCTGGGATTGAACTGCTTTCCAGGGCTTGAACTGCAAGACAGGTTGGTCTAATACCTGTAGTTACTCAGTCTACGAATGCAATTGCTAATTATTATTTTTACAGGAGGATACCTTAGAGGAAAATCTGCCAGTGAAATGCCTCTCCCACCTCCAACTCACATTATCTGTCAAACATACAGGTATCTGGATATGTATTTCAACAGTACCAGACAGCAGTACCACACCAAGGGCCCCACAGGAGCAGAAGGGTAACTCCTTTACACAATAAAACAAAGCTACAAACACCACAAACATGGTGGTAAGACAACTCTTCAAATGCAAACAGTGGGGCAAGGAAGAGCTTCTAAATACTGACAAACTTGGGTACAGAGCTGAGGAAGAAGCCCTGCGAGATTTTAGAAAATCCACTGCTGGGAATATCCCTTTCAGGATTTCAGCCAGATTCAGTGACTATTTGTCACTAGTAGTGACTATTCACCTCTTACATATAATTACCTTCACAAGAACTTGGCTACCACTACAGTCATGTCTTCTGTTTGTGTCCATGGGCTCTGTGGTCTCAGTGAATTAAGCCAGGCTCTGCTTTCAGTGAAACAGTCCTCAACATTTGCTGATGTTCCACCCTAGTGGGAACGGGTTTTAGATTATTAAAATTTTGAAGCCAAGTCTAGTTTACTTAAAAAATAATCAGGGAAAAATGTTCAGTCACCAGTCTAAGCTACAACAGCTTCACTCACATTTAAATCCACTGCACGAGAGCAGGACAGCAGTGTAACTTCCCAAACACAGGCAGCTCCAGTACCAGGGCTGCTGGTCACAGCAGGTGAGCAACAGCCACCTGACCATGTGGAAGAGTCCTCTGTGGCCTGTACAGAGAGTAAAGTCCCTGGCACAGCCCACAGACAGCACCAGGCAGAGGGAAATGGCATCAGTGAAGTGCAGGTGAGGAGTCCTGCAGGCAGGTAGCACCAAGTGGCTTAACTGTTCCTCTCCTACCTTCTGGGTGGCACACGGAGAAGCAGCAGCAGAAAGGTGGCTGTGTGGGGTTCCACGGTGTTCCACCTGCTTCTCCACAAACAGAAGCTGCTGCAATGTAGCACAAGATATTTTACACCATTCCCAGGTGGATCCCTTCCTCCAGATTACCCTAGAGCCTCAGGAACCCAGCCGAGACATCCCTGTTCAAACCACACTGTACCATTTCTCCTGCAGACACCTCTGTGTGGGGTGTTGTGTCCCACAGTCCTTCCTCTGGTCCCTTCTCTCCTTCCAGTTACTTTACACCTGCCTAATGCAGATACATAGAAACAAACTGTTTTTATCTTCTTGCCTTCAAGAAAGCCTGATTCCAGCACATCCCCTGCTTCCCATCACTCCAGTAACACATCACTGAAGGCAAGAGCACAGAGACTGCAGAAAAATATATATATATTTACATCCATAACTGAATACAGTTTTACGTATTCAAATTCAGGAAAAATGCATCACATATACACACCAAGATACATCGAGAGAATACTAAGGGCAAGACACTGCCAACAGCAAGAAATACACAGAAAAGCACAGTCATTGCTACTGTAACGTTCTTCTGGGGAGTGTATTCAAGAGAGGAAACGTCTCTATGCACTGGGGAAAGCCAGACACCCGGGCCTATTTTTCTGTGCCAGTTGGTGTGAATCCAAAAAGTGTGAAACTTTTACTTTAAAAAAAGTGCATGGAATAAAATTTGTTTTTTAGCATTCAACTACCCAAACAATTCCATAAGCTACATAATTAATTAAAAAGGTCCTAGCCCTACAGTACGCAGATCCAGCTCTGGAGAACACAGGCACATGTTGAAGTCATCCCTATTTAAGGCAGCATTTTAAGCATAAACTCAACTTTAAAGCTTATGTTCCGTCGCGCTGACTTCTCTGAGCAGTCTCAGCACACACTTAAAAAGTTAAGCACCTGCACAACTGCTCATCTAAGCGAGGATGTGTTCCCTATTTAGAGCTTTAGATATGCACGTGTGTGCTCAGCCTGGACTGGTAACTCCTGCAAGACCAAGCTCCTTCTTTTTCCTGCCCTACAGGTAAAAGCCACTCCACACCAGACTGCTCTCCATGGCTGTGTCAGCAACCAGTGGATCCTCTCCACAGCCTGCCCAAAAAAAGGTCATTCTCGAAGGAGTGCAGCTATATGGGCTGGAAAAGCAACTTAGCACGTGATGTCAAGGGCTGCTCCTCCTCCTCCCCTGAAGTGAAGATATTTCATGCAATTTTTTTTTTTTTTTTTTTTGGTAAGAACTGGAATGTGTTCCTTCAGTGAAATCTTTAAAATCAGGGCGAGGGGAAGGGGCAGGATCCCAGAACTCATCTTAATGGCCCATGATATAACCCCCTGAAAATAGGGGAACAGATTGGAAGAGCTCTTCGCCTCAATGCTACAGGGACCCCCCTGGTACAACAAACACACATGCACACACACCGAGGAGCAGCTGGCTCAGGGCATCCCCCTGCAGGCTCCACAGTGACCTCACATCAAAAGCACTTTGTGCTGACAGTGGCAAACAAGTGGATGGTGATTTTTCACAAATAGCAACAATTTTGCAGTATCTTCCTCTTCTTCCCGTTTACTTTGTGTCTTTTCCCAAAGCTTGTTTTTTCTTGTGTGTGTGTTCTTTTTTTTTTTTTAACCCGATGTGTGGTTGAACTACTAAAACTTAATCAAATAGTAAATTACACAGTCAGCACCAGTCAGGAACTGAACCTGGGTATGCCAATTGGTTTGTGGTACCCAAATTCCTGGAAGAACGAAGAAAAAGATTCTTGCTCCTAAAGTTAGGACCACATCCATATGTTTCCATTGTCTTTTTTTACCTTTACAACTAGAGGTAGAGTCATTTTGTCCAGTATCTAAAACAGCATGATCCAGTTATATTGTTATTACATTAATATACAGTATCCATCTTATCACAGGTATTGAAAGTGCATGGAAAAAGTCTAACCAAGCCAATTCAATGACAAATAACAGTGTACCAAACATCGTATAAACACACCCGCGCACCCACACTCACACGTAGTGTATATATATATATTTATAGATTAATTTACAGTATCAGAGTGTTGTTTAGATCCAGTGGCATGTGCAGAAATATCAGGCAGTTGCTGCTCTTCCTTCTCCTGTTCTCTTCAATTCTTTATTTCCAAGATGGACGGGTTGTGGTCCAGGATTGCCAGAATGATCTTGTCCATATATTGTCGCAATCTGTAGTTTATCTCTTCCTGCTCTTTGAGGGCTTCCATGAGCTGAAACACAACATTTCCAAGTTGTTCTTGAAATATTCTCACTAGTTTACCACTAGCTAGATTTCTGAGAGGTCAAAGGCCCCTCAACCTCTCCAAAGACGAAGACTGCTTTGCTTTTTACCTAAAGTTCATGTTATTTGGGTGTCCATTTTCGTTAGCCTTCCCATAAGTACTACCCTGAATCTGCAGTTTCTTACCTTTGTTTTATTAGACAGGAAAAAAGGTGCAATGGGATCAGTTTATGCAGGTCTGTGAGGTTTTACTGAGCCTGGGCCACAGCTGTCAGGCACTTCCCTCCTTTAAAGGCGGAGTGCTGGGCTCCCTTGCGTGAGCCAGAGTCATGAGATACAGAGGGAGAAAGTCAGATTTTTTTTGACAATTGCAAAGGCCCAATTTGCTTTTACCTAATTAGAGATCAACAGTTAAACAGCCTTCCTTCACAGAGCTCTGGTTCAGCAAGAAACTCAAGTATGCACTTCACTTCAAGGGCCTCCCCAGGAGCTAAAAGGCTGGCAGGTCATCCCAGTACAGACTGGGTAAAAGGCCCGTCCCAGGACTCCTCTTGATGAAGAAATGGGGAATTCTGTCTGGAAGAAACAGAGCATAAAGGGCAAACAATTCCTTTTAATCTCCTTTACCACTAACCTGTCTTCTTCCCTGGGAGCTCTTACGGGTCCCTGGGCCTGATCTCACCTGAACCTGTCCTGGAGCTCAGAGGAAGCTGCATCAGCTGGACTCAGCCCACACAAATGGGCCTCCCATAATATCTTCCAAAGCATTAGCAGACTATTACTTGCAAACTACTTACTTTCTCCAAGAATCCAGCTCTGCTACAAGGGAATATAGGCAACATATAGCTCAAATTTAGATCTGAGTTACTGAAGTAAAGTAGAATTAAATCTAGAACAGAAAGTAAAAATTTAAGTAACTACCTATGGTCATTTCAGTATGAAACTAATGTTATACTATCATAATACCCTCAAATTGTAAAGCAGTTCACTGAGAGTCTAGGAATTCCATTTTCTTGAGAGAGAGAGAAATGGGAGAGTTATAACACTCTTGAACTCCTACCAAAGCAGAATTTCTGCTGTTCATTTTTCAACTTCAGATAGTTCAACCTTGACAGTTAATTAGACCGAAAAATGCTTATTCTTGGATGTAGTACCTGATTAAAAAAGCACATTACCTCATCTCTTGATGCAGAATCAATTTCAGCAGCCAGTGACTGGGCTTTTGTTTGCGTTGCAAAGAGATTTTTAGCTTCATAAAGACTGAGGCTTAGGATCTGTCCATTCAGGTCATCGTTTTGGTCACGAAGTTTCTGATTCTCCTGTTTGAGGAGGGTGAAGAGACAAATTGCTTTTAAGTTCTTCTTACAAGGTCTCATTAAAAATAAGTACTATTTTAACACCACAGGGAATTTGGGTGACACGTGGTGAGGCTGCAAGCGAACAGCAGCTCTCTGACCTCCTGGATCACAGGGCACAATTTACATTACTGATGTGAAGAAGTCCTAGACAGAGGCAACATGTGTCTCGTGCTTGTGACAAAGGGGGGGATGACAAAATCTCAAGGCAGCGTGCCAGGGGTTGCAGTTGCAGGCATTTGTCAAGGCAGCCCCATCCATTTCATGTGGATCAAGAGGCCTTTTTTGCTCACCTGCTTCAGCCGCTTGATCTCGTGCTCCATCTCCACCTCCCTGGTCTTGGCGTTGAACTCACTCACGCTGGACGAGGAGCTTCTCCCACGCCCAGGACGTTCACATTCCAGCTTGTACAGCTGCAGGTGCTCCAGTTCCTTCCGCAGGTCTTCGATGAGCTGTGGGCACGCAAGGAGGTCGTGTGTCTCCAGCACAGCCCTGCACAACCAGCTACCCCCCCCGCTGCAAAGTTCTCAAAGAGTTGTAAACCCTTCGGGTCAGGGATGGACATTCATATTCTTGCAGCGTTCACCACCCTACGGGCACCCCTCCCACAGAGACACGATCCAGCAGGATGTTCCCTGGGTGTGCTGTTCTTAGTGCTCACCCTGTCTGCCCATTCCTTTTCAGATGGGTTTCCACGCAGGTGAGAAGAGACTACCCGGCCTTGCATCCCTCTTCACACCTACCTCCTGTGTGGCTTCCCTCTCCTTGTTGAATTCCAGCCTGTTCTGCCGCAGCTTGTCCATCATTCTCTTGTACAAATCCATCTCATCCTTCAGTCGCAGGCTCGTGTCTTCCAACCTGTCTGACATGCGCTGCCTCTCCTATGATAAACAGGGGATTTCACAACCAGCTTGCAAGTGCAGGAGAAACCCTGAGTTTTACAACATGAACCTACAGGCACAGCTGGTCAGAAGCTGGCTTGTGCCTTGGGGCATTCCTGCCTCTAAATGTTCCAACTCCATTGATAGTTTTCAGGAGGAAAAATTAAAGGCAGCGGGCCAGGCATGGTATGAGTTTTGCTCTTACAGAAATGAAATTGCTGTTAAATTGCTCAGGCACTCAGGGGGGTTTCGTTACCTCATCCAATCTCTCTGTCTGGGATTTCAGCCGTGTGACAGTGCTTTTCAGGTCACCATTTTCTTCTTCCAGTTGCTGAACCCTGTGTCAATAACAAAAACCTTCCAGCAAATACCTCTTCAAGATTGCAGACATGCAAAATAGCGTGCTCTAAAAAGCCATTTCACTTGCGCTTGACGGGAAGACCAGACAAGAAAATCTTTCCTATCTTAGCACTTTTTAGCATAAGCTTTTTGATAGTTTGTTTTTAGGGCCCAAAACGCCACACTGACCCCCTCAGACTCTTGTGCTCCTAAAAACAGGTATCTAAAAAAAAAAAAAAAATTAAGTCAGAAGAAACAAATGTTTGCTACAGCTGGCCACAATTCCCTCCTTGAATGTATGCCAAATATCCAGCTAAGCTGTCTACATGGGCCATGTGGATTAAAGCATTAATGCAAGGCACCCTCCCAGCTTTTGGGCTTTAAGACACACAACTGCACAGCTACTCTACAGACCTGCCAGCCTGCCACCATCTGTGCAGTGTCTGGTGGCGAACAGCCTGCATTGACATGCAAAGTAAAAATGAAGACAAGAGAACCTTGTGCTCTGTTCTGGGTGGCATCAAGGTGTTCGTTACCTTGTATTCAGCAGTTCAATTTCAGTGCCCTTCTCTTTTTCATACTTGCTGTAAGCTTCTCTGTGTCTCTTTATCTCGTCTTCCAGGGTCTGTTCTGCTGATGTTTCTTGGTCTTTCAATAGTTCCTCTAGTTCGTGAACTCTAAGGAAACCAGATCTCACCTCAATAATCGCTTCTCAAGTGTTTAAAAAATAAGTGTGCAACTTCACTGCCTCCATCTTTCCTGCCCGTTCCTTTATTTCATTCTACTTCACCCTCTCTCTTGGCATTTAATCTCTCCCAATATCTCTCCTGGTATTTAATCTACCCAAGAAGCACAGAATTAAGTAGTATTGCTTCATCTATTATTCTTTCAATCTCAAGAAGCTGGGACTACGACCCAGACTTCTGCTCTTGCTACATGCAAGAAAAAAAAAACAACGAACCCAGCCACCACAGCAACCTTTCTCACAGCAGAAGAGCTTGCTCTGTACAGGTCAGCAACATCTCTTTTAGAGATACCAGTTTGGAAGGCCTCTGCTTGCTGAAAATTCAACCTTACTCCACTTGACTTCTCAGGTGAAGCCTTATTTCATCTGTCAGCATTAAGGAAGGAGACTTGGTCATACTCTACAGGTAGGGATGTTCCTTCCCCACAGCTGTGTTGTGGCTTTGCTCTGACATGGTAAGGAGGGCTGGCTCTGTGCTCTGTTACCTGTGCACGAGCTGTGTGTTCTCCTGTTTCAGTTTGCTCTTCAGGTCACCGTTTGTCAGGCTGTCATTCTCCAGTTCTGTCACCTTCTTCTCTAGGTACGTTACCTGCGAGGGGAAGTGGAAAAAACTGAAGAGTTCGAATCTCTCTTCAAACACCCCTTCACTGTTCCCAACTGGCATTTAGCTATTCTACCCTTTTTAAAGGTGGCATATTTCTCTGCAGAGCCAGCAGTGAAATCAAGCTCCAAAAGTCTGAGTTGCCCAGACCCAGCATCTTCCTTGAAGGTGACCAATGCACATACACCCCAAAGAAGTTCTACCACAATGCCTGGATCTGTGCTTGCACAGCTCTTGCATTGTTGTGAAACGGAGTCGTAATATCAATGGAATGTCAAGGAAATTTTGAATGAGGCACTTCAGAACAGAAGTTACTGTGAGCAAGAGCTTTGTCCATTGATGCGGGTCTGCAGCAGGGTCTGCATTAATCCCAAGGCACGCAGCTTCTCACCTTCTCAGTGATATCATTGTCAAAGGAGTCTATACTGTCTCTGAACAAGTCTTCTGTGCTGCCATTACTGCTGCTGAAGTTACTGTTGTGGAAGAGTTGTCTGAAAGATCAGAAGGATAATTATTTTGCTTGATGAGGAGGGAGGACAAAGAGTCTGGTTCAGACTTTGAACATCCAACGCTAAAATCTGTGCAATCATTTCAGTGACAATTACAACTGTTTAAACACAAGTCTTACAAGAGACTGGTAGCTAAATGAAGTCATACTGAGCACAGTCAATGACATTAGTTCTAGGGAGTGAGTTCTTTGTTGCTTCTGATAGGATCTGCCACCAGCATTAACATGGTTTAAAAAATACTTAGCCTTACTCACACTATGTACTGAATTGTATTTGCCTTATTTGAAATTTTAAAAAGGTCACCACTGCACGCTGGTTGGTGCAGTTAACCTAGAAGATTTCACAGAGTAAGAACTTAAAAAAATATAAAAAAAGAAATCCCAAGCAGTTCCCACTGCAGAATAGTGCAAGAAATAGGTAACACTGGAGATTATCCAAAATGTTCTTGACACTTACAGGCTGGTTCATTCAGTCAAAGGAAGATGACAGTGCTGTGTGTCCTTTTTAAAGGGCTGCTCTTGCTTCCCTTTGCATTTTGGCAACAGCAACAAGGCCCACATTATGAGGGTTAAAGAAGCAATACCTGGACTGAGTGAGTAGCAGTATAAAGGAAGAAAGCTGGCAGACAAGGAAGCAACTATCTATGTTTTTAAGAGCTCTTTCCAGTTCGGGGTCTGCTCCAAGCCAAGTATTGCCTTCTATATTCTTTAACATCCCTACACAAACACAGGCCCCTTTCCTTGAAAAACTATCTTGGCACATTTTTGTTTTCCAAACTTATTCTTACTTTCTTCTCCCACTTCCACTTATGGAATTGTTGCAACTGATTCCACAATTATTTATAGAAAAGTTGAAGACTCTTACCTTCCAAAAGCTGTGCTTGATATTTTCCTGTTAGGGCTACATGGATACAAAATGAATGATACAGGAATTAAACACTTACTTGATTCAATTTTAATTGCATAATGAAATATAATATTCACTGTTTTAGCAAAGTCAAAACACGATTCTGTGAACAATATTCTTTAAACAACTTAACCAAACGCTGCAGTTACTAACAATGCTAAGATGAGTGAAGCCACAAATTACTGTGATCATTAATAAGCCAATTTGCAAATACTGTTATTTTTAGCAGAGATTTGTCAGTGTAAATCAGAGCAAAACTAACATTAGAAACACCACAAAGGGACACCAAGTTAGTGATGGACATATATTCTGGATTTGCCAGTTTTTAGATGGTTTTATAAACAGTTAGTTTATCCTTCCCCATAACGCTTCCCAGTTCAGCACAGGAACTGAGCTGCTTCCCATTTTCACAGCTCCCTTCTGCAGCCAGGGACTGGTACTATCCAAACAAAAGGTCCATACTGCAAACAACAGTGCTAGAACCAGATCAAAATCTCGTGCTGCACCCCTCCATGAGAGGACGTCACATCTCAGTGTGCACGGACACAGCTCTTGGCCAGGGCACCGCTCTCTTCCAGCCAGGCATTCACAGCCACCCTCACCAAATTCCCAGAGCCCTGGTGGGTCATGCTCTGGGTGCTGGCAGACCCCTGTCCGTGCCATCAAGAGTGCTCTGTCCCAAGGATTATGCCAACAGGCATGACTCATGTTCAGTTTCTAGGGGGAGCTAGAATCCCACCAAATAATTCCCTTCAAAAACCCTGGGGGATCGCTGGAAGCACTTTCCAAGTGCTCAGCACAGCTCAGAAGTGGATGGAGTGGCAGAGATGTAAGGAAATTTCCTTAACAGAAACGTAAGGAAAAAGTTGAAATCGCAAAGAACCCCAAAAGTAACTTCTGCCATAGGAATTTATCATTTTTCCAAGTTCCCCTGAGGATAAAAAAGAAACAAACCATCCCACAGGAACAAAGTACCTCTGCTGACTAGTAGCTTTAGGAGAGGTGTGTGTAAGGTTATATGCATTAGCTAAGGATCTGCAGATCCCTCCTTCCCACCTGGAGAAAGCAGTGGCTAACTGTAGATCTGCACTAAGCAGCACAACAGATCTCTCACTTCCTGGGAATAATTCCTGCAAATATCTCTCTCACTCTGCAATCAAAGAGCTTATTTGTTAAAATATTTACAAATGCTGTCTGCACCTTAAGTCAGAAAAATAATTACTAGCTAATGAAGAACAGCATTTTGATTCAGGCTGGATGTCAAACCCTAAATTTCTTACTGTTTTTTAAGGACAACACATGTGTAAGACAGAATGGGACAAAGGAAAGGAGAGGGCTCACTCCCCCTCTCCTCCTGCTTCTACCTGCTGCCATTTCCAGGGGGCATTGCCAAAAGCAGTGCAATAGGCTGCTTACCTGTTTGCTTTCAAGTTTTTCAGCCTGGCTTCCAAATCGTTGAGGAGATTTATCTTTTTGCAGCACTGTGAGCAGTAAACATCCAGCAACTCGCTGTTATAAACATGCCTCATTTTTCGGGGGGTTTGGCCAGCGCTGTTTGCGGGAAAGGAGAGATGTTACCAGCTGTAGTAACCAACTCACCACTGGCTTTCCTCTTGACTGTGTGTCTGTGTGTCAGAATCACGGATGAGGGACTGGAAGAATCACCTCTAACCACAGTGATGTAATTCAGAGCTGATGATGGAGAGTTCTGGCCTTAGGGCAAGTCTACCTGTCTGAGCTGAGCCTTTCCAGAGGACGTGGGCTGGGTGTCAGTGGAAAGAACCAGCCTGGGTGACGACAAGAATAGCAAAAGGCACACAGAGTCCACTGGGATGCATGAGGCAAAGGCAGCTAGATCAGTGTGTTCCACCTCAGCAATGCCCTCCTCTCATCCTGCCCATCTTCCCATCAGAGCCTGGCATGCAAACTGAAGAGTCTTTTCTCCAAGAGAAAGACAGGAAGATGAAAAACAGAGTGGTTGGGTAAGAAGTCACACAAAGCCCCTCAGATGGTAGGATGAAAGGAGCCCTGGAATGAGGAGGAAGGGAGAAGTGGGCACAGCTCTAAAGAGGAGATAACAGTAGCTCTTGGCATGATAAAGAGAAAATAAACTCAAATAAAAAAGAGCAATCATGGCATGAAGTGCACTGAGCCCCAGGAATGAGAATGGAAAGGGCTGCATAAACCCAAGGAAGGAGGGGATGAAGGACACAAGCCATCCTCGTGAAGGGGCAGAGGAGAGGGGTGCTGGCTCTGCATGCAGGACAGAGGTGGCAAGGCTGGATTGCAGAAGTGCTGGAAACAGAGGGGAGCACGTGGGGGCTGCATGCAGAACAGAAGGATGCAGTGAGCTTGTCCTGTGTTAGCCATGAAGCACAAGACCTTCGTGTGCTATTGATCCAAGCAGGCAAATCCTAGAGAATGTCTATGCTTAGCTCTTCCTGACCCTGCTCCCCCACTCCCTTGCCTGGGGAAGGACTGTGAAATCTGGAACTGCCTTGGTCACAGGACGTAAGAGCTGCAGAGACTGAGGTCACATGCAGGAAACCAGTGCAGTGCTGTGGCATTTCTAGCTCCTAACAGAGAGCAGCTTCTTGCTTATGATAACCCCTTGTTTGTGGGCAGCACTTCCCCTCACAGTGTTGAGGATCTGCAGTATCAGAACACTAAAGAGAAGCAGCTCTCCTGTAAGTCTTCTCTCCACTGCATCGGGTGCACAGTGCTAAGCTGGTTTCCATTGCAGCAGATCCCTTCCAGCACTAGCCCTGAACTGTGAAATATATTGTCTGTAATAGAACGAAATCTCTAGAAGCAAAACAGCCCAGTTATTTCAACAGAACCCAGCAGAGGTTATCAGAAACAATATATTTGCTCAGCTCTTATTAAATGCAGTCTGTCAACTGGAGGGCAGAAAATGAAGTGATAACATTTTAAGGTGAGTCTGTGTAACTAGTGTAACCTCTGGTATGGTCAGAGAAGAATTAAAATGAGAAATTGTTTGTTAATGAATAAGGAGCAACCTGGAAGATACAGATGAGCCAAGGTCAGAGTAGGCGTTGGTTCTGGTCTCATCATCAGGGCAGGGGCTACTGGGAGTAAAATCCACATCATCTCCTTCCCCATAATCTTCAAACTGTTCTTCATTACTGATCAGAGAGGCGGTAGAGTAAGTGGAGAGGTCAGATGCTGCAGAAGGGTTGTGAGGACTTGACCTGAAACAAGAGGTCAAAACATCTCGAAGGCCGACTTTGATAGCACCTCATCTCACACGGAATCCTCCACCTTCACAGCCTGTCCCCTCACTGGAAGCTGCACCCCACTTACTTTGTGCCAAAACCCTGAAGTGCTAAATGCATCTGATGTGCAATGGACACGGTGCCTTGAAAGACACGAGCATGGGAATCTACAAACAATCTACTTGTGAGACAGGTTTGGATCAACACAAACCATTTCACTTTAAAGAGCACACACCCTGACGATTCTCAGTCACCATTTCCTCATGGGGACTTCTGCTCTGAACGCAGGAACTGTGCAGACAACTCAAAATGCATGGGATAGTGAGAGGAAAGTGTGCAAGACAGAGGCTGTCGCTGTGTTCTGCAATCAGAGAGTTTTCCAGTAATCCCAATAAACCCTCTCCCACCCCCCATGAGCTCCAGCCACTCTCCTCTGTGTGGTCAGGAACAAACTTCAGCTCACCACATACCTGAGAGTCACTAGAGCTACTGATGTGACCTCCCTTCCATCATGACAAATTGTGCCTTTCAGAGCAGATACGGACCACAAGGAGAGGCTGCCTAACTACCAGAGAAGTAGCTAAAATCATGTCCAACAGGCAGGAATGGCAGGACCCTGTGACCTCAGAGAGAGAGGGCACAGAGGTAAATAGATCAGCAGAGCCAGGCACCACAGCAAAGCAGCTGGCAGAGCATCGAATAAAACAGAGCAAAGTTGGCTGCAGAGAGTGCACAGTGTCCTTCTGCCCAGAGCCCAGACTGCCCTGCAGCCCCACGGGGCACCTGCAGGGCAGGTATTCAACACAGGTTTGCTCAGCTCCCTCCTCAGTGAGGCATTCAGGGAGAAGCCACTAAATTCACATACAAGTCCTTACAAACAAACTTCTCCCCACAGAAAACCCACCTGGAAGGCCTGAAAGAAGATGATTCACTTGTGAAACCCTGGCCTTGCCCAGTACATTGCTCTTCCCACTATAGAGCAGAATGCAGGGCCTCTGGAGTACAGACAAGGCACTGATGGAATCTGCTGGCACTTTGTGCCGATTGATTCGAGTTTTCCACTCCCTTTGCCTCAGTGCACAGTGCCTGCACCTTCCACTCCACCAGCTGAGCCATGGGACAGTAACTCCCAGCTGATGTTCTACAGCAGCTCAACAATATTTCCTCCTAGCTTTTTTTTTTTCTCCTGAGTCCACCTTGAACCTCCCAACCCCTCCACAGGGAGATTCTTTTTCCCGTAATACTACACTGGTGAGCTGTAAACAAGAGATGCACCAGCATTCCTTTGGCAAGCGCTATTTGCATATCCCTTCCCTCCAAAAGCAATTAGTAGAAGAGGAAGCCTGCCAACATTTCAGATGTATGCTCTTTTGTTTCTCCCGTTTTGATGAGATCCATTTATAACCTGCAACTCATTTATCTAACTCACATTAACAGAAATTAGGGCAAGTCAAGCCTGGCACACTATTAAAGGATGAAGATAGGAACACTCATACTAGAAATAGATCAAACCTACCTTACAAGGCTCCTTGGCTGGGGTATTAGTGAGAAGCTCAACATCTATTCCTGAAGTGCTGCTGTGCCATGGACATACTCTGTATTAATTAGTTTTTGGGAGATCTCACGATCTGTGTAACTGCAACCGCTGTTTGCATCTCACTGTAGTTACACCAAGGCAGTTTGGGAAGAAGCTCCTCCTAACACCTCCACCAGGACTGGAATTGCAAAGTCATTTGCCAAAGAGTTGCTAAAAGCAGATGATTTTCCTCATTCTGACACTTCCTGAAGGAAACCTCCACGTGTTTGGTGTTTTTTGTTTGCTTGGGGCTTTTTGTTTGTTTGCCTTTTAAAAATATCTCCTGTTCCACAGGAAGCTTCAGAAATGTTTTCCCCACAGATTTACCAAGGCTGAGGAGGCCTTGGAGGATAAACCAAGGTCTATCAGTAGTGGCACAGTAGCTCTCAGTAGCTCCTGCCTGCCCTAGAAGGGGGTACAGGATGCACAATGCCTTTCCCACCCCCTGACTGGCACAGCTGGCAGGAAAGACACTCGTTTCAAACACAGCACAGGTGAAAGTCACCGCAAGGATGGGGCTTTGGAGAACTGGGAATGGCAAGCAAAGGAGACAGGTTTGATAAAGAGCTGATGAAAACTGTAATTATCTTGATAAATCTCCGAGATTGCTTGGGCAAATGGGAAAAGGTCAGAACAGCTAAGTGAGCAAATTCAGGAGGAGGGCAAGGATGAGGCTGCACAGGGAGCACCTGAGGAGGCCCAAGAGAGAGAAGGAAGACTGCCTAGCAATGAACAAAGCTCAGGAGACACAAGTCAAGATGGCAAGCCAAAAAAAGGGAAGACAAGGCAGAGGCTTACAAAGCAAGCCCAGCTGGGCTCTGTCCTGTGGTACTGCATTTACTCAGGTCAAGGCAGGATTAAATAAAATTGGGTCCTTTTCCTATCCCAGTCATCTTTAACCAGCACCCCCAGGGACACACCTAGGAAGAGTCAAGTTAGGATTACAGAGACACTGGTGTTAACAGCAACTATGGTTACACACACACATGCCAGGACACCCTGTGTTAAACACCATTTACTGCTGAACACTAAAGGTTATGGAAAATTAGAAACACAAAGAATTAAGTTGGTACATGAAGTTGCAAAGCAAATCTGCAGAGCCCACACTGCCAGGTAACTCGATGCACAAAAGACTAAAGCAGCATTCCTCATACTGAACTGCTCTGCAGGAAGTATTTGTTTCGATTCCAGCACAGAAAGCTTAAGGGAACACAGAAGATTCTAAGGTTTGGGGAGATGCTAATGCAGTGATCCATCCTGGAGAGACCCAACAACGCTTTCACTTCAGCACACAAGTCCTGTGAGCGCTCACAGAACATGCCAGAAGGAGCCAGGACTGAGCAGACCTGGACATCCATCTCCCTCACACTGCAAATGGACGTTAAGTTCCTCAATCCACCAGGCATCCTCAGCCTCCCACAGCAGGGATCAGTCACACAAAGGCTCCTTCCTCCCTTGGAGCAGAGCTGCCAGGGGGCAGAACCGGCACTCACTTGTCCCCGGGCAGGAAGAGGCCCCCCAGGACACCATCCTTGTCCTGGCAGACATCAGAGGCCTCCGAGCTCTGGGCACTCTCGATGGCACTGTCCATGTCAGACTCATGGTGAACCTCCTGCTGGGCCAGAGTCATCCCGTCCTCATCAGGGAACAGCTCCGACTCGCTGAAGGCGCTTTCGCTGTCCAAGTAGGCGCAGTCCTGGATTTCACCCCCCTGGAAAAAGAACAGCTGGGAGTCAGTTCAGATGGCTCCTTAAGGCAGTTGAGCAGATACACGAGAAGCAATAACCCACTCTCTGGCTGCCCTGGTAAGCAAGAGTGATACTGAATAAACGCCGTAACACAACAAGCTAGCCTGCTTTTACAAAGCCAGTTCCTGCAGGCCCCTGAGGTAGCTTGTACCTTCCAGAGGGGCTCAAATACTGTCTGACTCTTACGTGGGAGAGGAGGACACAACACTCAGGTATGAAACACAGTCAATTTTGCCCTAATTTACTAAAAAAATGCACTAGAAGTAATAAATATCCTCAAAGTTTTACAATAAAACGAGGCATCCTTTGGAAGAAGATAATACACGAATCACTGAGAGTTACTCCTGTGATTAATATTATAGATTAAACAAAAGCAAACCAGATAAGCCTAACAGTTTACTCCATTTTTGAGGATGGGAAAAAATATATAAGGTGAAAAAAGAGTAGGCAGGTGTTAAAATGTTTATGATAAGTCATGGTGATAATCAAAGATTTAAGAGAGCAGGGAAAAAAAAAAAAAGACTGAAATCATCTGTTCCTGCTTCCTGGAACCACATCTTGATCAAGTATCAACTAAAATAAGACATCATTCTCATTAATGCAACTCTTTGCTCTTGCTGTCCTCTCCCTCCCCTTTTTGCCCCACAAACACTCACAATAGCCAAAACAAGCTGGGTTCTATTTGCTTGGCCCTGAGGGACAAATAAAAATTCTTAATTGAAAAAATAAAGGCTAAGATTTCACTCTGTCCTTTGATAAGCAGCAACACAGGGCTGCTTTAACAATTCCCATCCAGCATGACACAAATAACTCAGAGCTCCAGAGCGAGTCCTGCAAACACTCTGACTCAGAGCTCCACTCCAAAGCTCACCTGGAAGCTCCACAGGCAGCCTGACCATTGAGCTGCTGTCAGGAACTGAAGACAGCCATGCATTTACAGCTCAGTTCACTGGCACAAGGAATGAAGTATTTAATTCACAGATATACCTCATGTTTAGGCACAAGTGACATCCTGCCCAGCTCCTCCCCAAGGAATCCCAAGGCACTGACAGCCTGGCACCACTGCCAGCATCCCCTGCCCTTCTGCTGAGCACCCTCACTGGGACACTGTCACAGTGGCACCACTTGCTACAGCTCTGCTTCAGCCTCTGGACTCTCCTCTGCAGGAACCAAGGAGGTTTAAACCCCCTCTTGCAGAACCAGACACGTTCTGTGCTGGTGACACAAACTGTTCTCAGTGTCTTTTCTACTTCATCACGACCAGAGTCAGGCAGAAGCTGCAGCTTCTCAAGATTTGCAAAAACTACTATTAGAAACGCAGGTCTTGCCGTCTATTTTTCTCCCCAAAACCACCAGTTTATATAACTGCGAAATCTCCCAGCATATGCAGGCTGAAAAAATTCCAAACAACCCTACCTGCTCAGACCTCATTAACTAATGAACACCCGAGCAGGGAAAAGCACAGCATTGCCTGCTGTGTTTGAATCTCCAGGTACACACTGAGAGCAGACACTGGGTGCTTTCCTAGTTGAGCTTTTAACAGGTTTTCCAGATGAACAAGGCATGTCAGCGAGACACTTATACAATAATAAGCACACGTGCAGATGCCTTTTCCCCCTGCTCTGTGTCAGCCTTATTACACCTGAAACTTTCCTTAAGTATCACTCAGAGATGTCCAAAAGGATTTATTTAGCCTTGGTTTCTGCCATGTAGCATCTACTGAAGTCATGTTTGATTTATAGCTCTGAGCCACAGCCTCTCACCCACAGGGTGGTTTGGCAGGTCAGACTCCAGCCCTAGAGCCTGTCCTGGCCCTGCCTTAGCCCCGGGTTCTCCAGCACATCTCACCTGCTTCTTGCACCATCACAAGCAAGCAGGGACAACGCCACTGTTGCTCTTTGCAAAGTCCCTCGGGATCTACAAACAGCACAGGCAATAAGGCCTTTTTAGTAGGTGCTGGAAAAAGCAAATATTGTTAAGAGCAATTAAAATGCTTCAGAAGTACCCCGGAGTGTTTGTTTATCTAACATTTCCCCGAAGTTTCCTCCCTCACGCTGAGCCCCACAGGCACAGAGGTCCCATTTCTCCTAACAAGTTTAATGCAATAAAGCCCTTGACTGCTGTTATGGAATTGCACCAGCTGGTAGAAGTCTGATCCAGGAGGGAAAGAGAAGGGCACGGAGCATGCAGTGGATCCCTGAAGTTCCCAATTAGCCTGTCTTTTTCAGAGGTTTTGGAGAAGTCTCTGCTCAAGCAAGTTTTTATAGCAGGAAAATCTCACTGGTATTACACAAATGAACACAAGAAAGTAAAGGTCAAGAAGATCAGGAAAAACTCCCTTTTTGCTCTCTGTAGGTAACACCACACTTCTCTAAGAATAGCTGCCGAGTTGTTCTTTAAAAAGAGTCCATTAGCAATTAGATGTGCAGTGTCATCTATACAGGCTCAGGGCTCACTTCTCTTCCCTGTCACTTTGTGGCAACTTACCCTTCACGTCTACTTGTCTGAGAGTTCTCATCTACAGCTGCAGCACAGGCTGCACTGTCCCCTGCACACCCTGCTCAGTACCAGGGATTCCTTTCCCAGATGTGATTGTTCTGTTCCTACACTTTTAAGTCCCGTGGGGGAAAAAAAAAAGATCAAAGAAATGAGCTTTTGGAGAGGATGACCCCCAGTGAGCCTGAACACCTCCTTTACAGCCCCACTGCAAGACTTGGAACCCCTTCTGGAAGCAGGTCCTCCCTTCTGCTGATCCCTTCCTTGAGCCGAGGGGAGCTCAGGGATTGATGGGAACTGGATAAATGAACATGGGCCAGCCAAGCTCCCTGGAGGAGCTCCCCTCAGCTGCTTCCTCGCAGCGGGGGAAGCAGATCCCACATCCCAGGCTGCCAGCCCTCCTCAAACCTGGCACTGACCCCCTCACCCAGCACAAACAAAGTGCTCAGCTGCTCTCTGAGCACCCGGCAGCCAAATCACACCCTGAAGACCCCAGTCCTTTCCAACACAAGCAGCACCAACAAATAACCCTGCCAGGAGGGCTCAGCTCCAGCAGCTGCATCAGCTGCTTTTCCATGCTTTTAAGTGCTCGGGGTCCACCTCCAATTGGTGCCAACACTATTTCAGGAAGATGCACAGCAACCAGGACCAGCCCCTGTGCTGAAAGCTGTTCTCTGTGGGTAGGAACTATGTGCTTTGCTATTAAATTTTATGAGCTTAGGGGTGTGGAATCACACAGTGTTCCAGGCATAAGGATACCTGTAAAGCACCAAACAAGGTGTCTCTTCAGCTCCTTGGTGAAACCAGCCTGCAGTGCAACTGTCACAATTACACATTTAATTAAAGGTTTTCCTTCTGTGGCCTAAATAACCAGTAGGAGAACACAGACAAAGCACCTTTAAAACAACTAATACAGGTTAAATAACTACTACAAGACAAGAGGATCAGAGCACGCCACTAGTAAACAATATACAGGCATCCACGCCTTCCTGACTAAAGCTGTAAGTTATTTGAAGCTGCAGGTGTTCACTGACCATAGTTTCTCACAGAACCCTACTGTCAATGATGCCATGTAGCACGAGCTGCTTACAGACCACACCTAAGCTNAAAAAAAAAAAAAAAAAAAAAAAAAAAAAAGGAGAGGAGAATAAAAAGGCTGATTGCACACCTTAACCCCTCAAATTATTCTTTCACAGCTTAGATATCTACAGTACTCCAGGTACCAAATTAGAGGCTGGCAAGAACAAGTGTTATTCGGGTAGCCTTGAAAGAACTAACTCGAGTTTAAGGAGAATCTAAAAAGTTTAACTATGAAGAGACACTTCCAGCCTGAGTCATTTGTTTCCAGCGCACATGTCATTAGCCCCAACCAGCAAGTGGATGACGCCTTGAATATGAATCACTGTGGCTGTCACTCTGCTAGGCAGTTCCCTTTGTTGGCTGAGTCAAAAGAGATAAGTCGCTGCTTATGATCTTGGAAGATTCACATTTAAAAAAACCCGGAAAAAACCCCAGCCCCTAACGTTAAGATACCACTGACACAACATAGCTGCGGGCAGCTTTAAACCCGAGAGTGCTTTGCACTTTATCTAATGGGATGCTCAAGATAACTCCAAGTGCTTCACAGGCAGCCGGCCCGACGCTCGCAGAGCAACTGTTGAATATTCAGCAACAGTTTGCTCTATAGAAGCACCTGCTGCCCAGAGATCCAAGGCCACTTCACAGAAACTAATGAATTCCCTTCCTCGAAAGAGCCGATTGTGTGGCTGCATTGAAGGCAGAGGAGTAAGCCCAGCCTGCCTTTGCAACAGCCACCCCAAACAGAAGCAGGAGCCAGAAGACAACGATTCCCATGGATTCCTTCTGATCCCCGTGGGTCAGGAAAGCAGCGGCAGCATTAGGTGGGTATGGGAATACAGCTCTGCCTTGCCCTGCAGTGACCTGACTGGGCTTTCCCAGGTTGGAAGCAACCCCTAAAATATGCATATAAAACAGCTGAAAGCTAGTAACTTGGCTGACAGACAGGCTACATGACATGCCTACATCAATACATTCACGATGAGGAGCAAGCCTCGTTAAAATTCACTCCCATCACAGCCAAATCACCAGCACCCCTGACATTTAGACAGCTTCACAGTATGACAGAGGAGACAGGGAAGAAAAGAGGATCCAAGTATCCCACCGCTGTGCAATTTGATTGGTAAAAGAGCTGGACCCACCACACACAACCAGAAACAAGCAACACCACATGCACATCAGCCACGACACTTCCCTCGCCAGGATCGTGCCCCCAACCTGCACTCTGACAGCCTAAATCCAGGTGTGGGGCAGATGCCAGTCTGAGTCCCTGCACCCTCCCCATTCACTTTCTTCCCACCAAAAGTGCAGGAACAGTCACTTCACCACAACTGGAAGGGAAGAGGTGCCACGTGGAGGTGTGCCAGGCTTGGTGGTCTCAGACGATTGT